CTAACTACACCTACCCAGGCAACAAGATCAGCCTGCTGGGCTTCCTAGGGCTGGTGAGCTGCCACCCCTGCAAAGGTGAGCGCCGCATCCCCTCCCGCGGGCTGCGGGGAGCTGCTTTATTTGTAAGAATCCAATTTCTTCCCCCTTCGGCCGCCTCCCCGCGCGCGTGCGGAAGGGCTTTACGTAACGGGCAGCTCCGGGGCTGGAGTGGCTCCAGCTGCGCGTTCCAGGCGCTCCAGATGTTCGGGAGGGCGCAGCCCGGCCGCGCTGGCGGGGCCGCGCGCTCCAGGACCTGCCGCCCGCAGGGGTCGGCCGGGGGCTCCCGAAGGTCACGTCGCTATTTGCCTTAAAAGAAAGAGGGGGGAAAACACTTGGCACAAGAGCCTCTTCCCGGCGCTCCGCGCGGCTCCCGACGGGGCTCTGAGCAGCCCCGGCCCGGGCAGGGGCTGCCCCTGTCCCGCAGCCGCTCTGATCCCGTCCCGGGGCTGGCCGGAGCCCCGGCACGTCGGCTCCGCTCCCGGGCAGATGGAGCTGGGGCTGCTCTGATCCCCTGTGATCCGGAGGCCTCGGGAAGGGCTGTGGGGCGGCCCCGGGGGCTCCTCCGCGGGGAGGCCGTGTTCCTGGCTCCGGCTGCCGGGACACGACGTCCTGCAGCGGGAGCGGTTGGGATGAGCTGGGCTCGGCGCTGGGTCCCGCGGAAGGGTCCGTGTGGCCCCGCGCAGCCGGATCCGGCTGCCTCCATCCTGCTCTGCTGCTGCCCTCGCCGGGAGCTGGTCCTGCTGCTCCTGCTCCCTCTGCAAGGGCAGGTCCCAGCTATGCAAATCGGGAAGGGAGCAGGAAAGAGGCCGTCTCCCAGCAGGGACTCTCCCCATGGGAACACTAGGCCAGCACACAGGGAATTTCCCCTCCTGCCCCTCACAGTCCCTGGGGAATTTCCCCCTTCCTGCTCTCCAGATCCCCCTGTGCCCAGCCCACGGGAATCCCTCCCACCTGGGGTTAATCCCCATCCAGAGCCTTCTCTCCATCCCGTCCCACTTCCTCCCCAGGCCCCGCTCACGGTCCCCAGCACCCTGGCGCTCTCCCACATCCCGTGATCCCCACAGAGCTGCGGATCCCTGCGGATCCCTGGGGCTTTGGGATGTCTGATGCCCCTCTGGGATGGCAGCAGGACGGGGGCAGCCGGAGGGGGACAATGTGGCCATCTGTCTCCTTCGGCCGTGACCCGCTCCGGTCACGGAGGCCCGGAGCGAAACAGGGCTGGGTATTGTGCACGCGCGGCCTCGCCGCGGCCCCGCGGCTGGGGAGGAGCTGGGGCCTTTCCCGGATGGATTTTCCATTGCATAAGAGAGAGAAACGTCTCCTTCCAAAAAACAGATACGGAGAGCTGTGCTAGCGGAGCGGGGGAGAGGCCGGCGCTGCGGCGGGGCCGTGCTGGACGCGGGTCCGCGTCGGGCGCGGAGCGGGTCCAGCGCGGCGCTCACCGCGCGCCCTGTGTCCGCAGAGAGCTGCGAGGGGGTGGTGTGCGGCCCCGGCAAGGAGTGCCGCATGCGGCACGGCCGCCCGCACTGCGCCTGCGCGCCCGACTGCTCGCGCCTGCCCCGCAAGCTGCAGGTGTGCGGCTCCGACGGCGTCACGTACCGCGACGAGTGCGAGCTGCTCACCGCGCGCTGCCGCGACCACCCCGACCTGCACGTCATGTACCAGGGCAAGTGCAAAAGTAGGTGCCCGCCCGCGCCGGGAGCCCTGCGCCCCGTTTCACCCCCACATGGCACACCGGGAGCTTTGCACCCCCCTAATCCCGCGGCTTGGGCGGCTCTGGGGCGCAGCAACTCCCCAATGTGGCCGAGTCCCCGGCTTGCCGTGGGCTCAGGAACAACAGTCCGTAAAATGTCGCTCCCAGGCATCAAGCCCCTTTTTCTGTTGTTTTGCTAAAGAAAGCAGTAATCCTCCCGCCCTGCCAAGAGCTGTCAGGATTATTATGGTTATTTTTGCCAGCCCTTCTCTCTGAAATGCTTTGCCTGTCAGGCCCTGGACTGCACAGTAAGATTTGGGGCAAGAAATGTGAGTTGCGAGCTGGGAATTGCGGGCGCCAAGTCTCCTTCCAGTCCAGGAGGAGAGTGCGGGAGGAGGAGGGGAGGCTCCGGGACGTGTTTACGGCCTCAGGAGCGGCGCGAGGCTCCGGCTGGCCGGTCCGGGAGGCTCCTGGCCCCGCGGGGGCTCCGCGGTGGGGCCCGTGCCCCTGTGCTGGCACCCGCGGCTCCGGGCCGGCTGCAGCGCTCTCCGTGCCGGCTGCGCAGCCAAGGCACCTGCACGGGACGCAGCCAGGCCCGGCACACGGATCCCGCTGGCTCCGGCCCCGGGAATGGTGGCGCTGGGTGGAGCCGGGACCCCGCTGAGCTTCGGCCCCTCTCGTCCCTGCTTTCCGTGCCGGGAAGGGCCCCGGAGCGCCGGGCACCGACCCCCGCGGCCGCCTGTGCCCGCAGAGTCCTGCTCCAGCGTGGTGTGTCCCGGCACCCACACGTGCGTGGTGGACCAGACGGGCAGCGCGCACTGCGTCGTGTGCCGCACGGCGCCCTGCCCCGAGCCCGGCGGCCTGGACCGCGCGCTCTGCGGCAACAACAACGTCACCTACCCCTCCGCCTGCCACCTGCGCCGCGCCACCTGCCACCTGGGCCGCTCCATCGGCGTGCGCCACTACGGGAGCTGCTCCGGTGCGCGCCGCCGCGCGGGAGGGCAGCGGATGGGACGGGGTGCGCGGGGACGGGACGGGATGGGGAGCCTCAGGGTGGAATGGACTCGCGTGCAATGGGATGGTCTGTGGTGGGATGCACTGGGATGGGATCCTTCAATCATGATGCAATGGGATGTTCTAGGGCGGGATGCATCGGGATGGGATGAGATGGGATGGGACAGGGTGCGCTGGGATGGGACAGGATGCCGTAGGGTGGAATGGACCCGGATGGGATGGAGGGTCTATGGTGGGATGCACTGGGCTGGGATCCTCCAATACCGATGATGGAATGGGATGCTCTGGGATGGAATGGGATGCTCTAGGATGGGATGGGATGCTCTGGGATGGGTCGGGATGGGACGGGATGCTCCAGTGGAGGTCCTGGAGCCTGCCCGCCTGCTCAGCCTCTCTGCTCTTCCCCTTTCTCGTTCCCCATCCCAGCTGCAGCGAAGTTCTCCCTGGAGACGGACAACGCTGAGGAAAACTACGTGTGAATCCCTGCCTGCCAGCAGGCCAGACCCGGGAGACAAGGGCATTATGTGTATACTGTACAAACCATATACCGGATATTTATTAAGATAAAGAGATCCCTATTTATAGCCGTCTATGCTAGGCAGTTGCAGGGGCCAGATGCCCGGCTCTGCTGGCCGGGAGCGAAGCCGGGCGCTGTCGCCGGCGCTGGGGAGCGCGAGCCCCGCGCGCGGCCCCGCGGCGCCCGTGTCCTTGGCCGCCGTTCCCGGCCCTCCGCGTCTTGGCCGGAATCCTCCGTGCGCTGCTGACGTTCCTGGCCGGGACCGCGGCGTCTGGGGGAATCGGAGCTTTATCTTTCACTGGAGGGATTCGGCTGCCAGCAGCAGCGACGCAGCCCAGGCTGCACCGGCTTGCAGACAGAGAGATATATTTTTATAAATATACATGTATGTATGTTATTTTTTTCCCTAAAATTTGAACATATATATTTTGAAACTGGTTTAGTGGAGGTTTTCCCAGGCACATTCATAATTGGCTCATGGGCATCGCCGCTGCGGGGAGGGAGCGGGACCCTGCAGGGCTGCCAGCTTGGGACCTGCCTGGGATTTGGGACCTGCCCAGGATTTGGGATCTGCTCTGGGCCCTGAGACCTGTCCTGAGCATCTGTCGCTCCTGTGGCCTCGGAGCTCCCCACACTCCTGCTCCGTCCGCACTCTTTGTATTTATTTTTACTCCTCTATTTTAGTGTGTGCTTTGCAACCTGTGTAAATACCATCTCATCTCTGATACCAAAAAAGACCTGTTGCCTTTATATAAATACCATATATGTTATATATAATATATATAAAAATACCCTATTTTCTATTTTTGCATGCGTGTGCTCTGATTCCCGGCGCAGGTGCGTGTCCCTGGGCCGCGTCACCCACACGGTGCCCGTCACAGCCCTACACGAGCGGCGGTGGCTGCAGCCCAGGACGGTGGTGGGTGATGGTGGAGAGGGAGCTTCCCGGTCGGTGCCGCACATGGAGCAATTCCCGCGGCTAAGGGAGTCCTGGTGTGCGGTGGGGACCCGGCACGGCCGCGGGTGGCACCTTCCTCCCCTTGCAGCGTCCCGTTTGCGCCGTGTCCCCAGGGAAGGGGCTGCATCCCGGCGCGCTCCTGCGGCAGCCGCCTCCAAGCCGCGGCCGGGAGTCAGGCGCCTCCTTCCCGACAGAGCCTGGGTGGTCCGGGACAAGCCGGGACGCGCCAGCTCCCCGGGCTGGCGGTGCCGGGGGGGCCGCAGCTCTGCCCGGCTGCGCGGGACGGCCAGTCCCGGGATGCTGCGGCTCCTCCCGCGGGGCCGGGGCTGCTCCTCGCCCGCGGGGCAGACACAGGGAGGCGGGAGAGACACCGGGAGCCCTGCGATCTGGCTGAGTTTCCAACGGTGCCTGCCGCGATACCCCCTTTTCCCCATCAGCTCGGGATGGGATAGATGGGATGAGATGGGTTGGGATGAGATAAATGAGATGGGAAAGGATGGGATGGGACGGGAAGGAATGGGACCAAGCAGGGGTGGACGGTTTGGGATGGATGGGATGGGACAGGAGGCGAGTGGAGCAGATACAAGGACTCACAGAGGCTTTATTGAGGCCACCGTGGAGCCGTCGGAGGGAGCAGGGCCCCTCGGAGCAGCTCCTGGGCAGGGGTCGGCCCCAAACCCCCTGCTGCTCTGGGGACGTGGAGGCCGGAGGGCAGCACTGAGGGGCAGAGACAGCGGCAGGGGCCCAGGCGTCCTGGTCCCACCGTGTCCCCAAGCCCACTAGTGCCGGCGCCGCCCTCTCGCCGTGCGCAGCACCCAGCCCACGTAGTTGGAGACCTTGGTGTAGATGTCGGGGTGGCGCCGATCGCCGCACCTCTCCCCGGAGAAGGAGACGATGCCGTAGACCTTGGCCTTGAAGACAAGGGGTCCCCCGGAGTCGCCCTGCAAGGCGGGGGTGGCGGCGGGGGCCCGTGGGGCGCGCGGGGCGCGCGGGGCTGCGGGCGCTCACCGCGCAGACGCCCTGCAGCGTCGTGTTGGGGCTGCTCGCGCACAGCATGTTGGCCGAGACGCGGCCCCGCCACAGCGTGCGGCACAGGCTGCGCTTCACCACCATCGTGCGCGTCTCCATGAGGCTGCGGGGCTGCTCGCCGTAGTTGGACGTGTCCCCCCAGCCCGCCACGGAGCACACGGTGCCCGGCTGGAGGTCGACGCGCGGCGGGGGCAGGCGGATCCGCTTCACGTGCGTGTTCAGCGTGGCCGAGCCGTTGAGCTGCGCAGGCACCGGCGGGCTCTGTGGCTGCCCACTGGCCCCTCTTGTCCCCTCTGTCCCCTCTGAGCCCTGCGCACATCCCGCCCCCAGGCCTTGTCCCAGTGCCAGGGGCTGTGCACCCCTCCCCAGCCCCGTGGGGCCGCAGCCGGTGTCCGGGTCCGTCTGTCCCTGTCCGCCTCGCCGCGGCCCCGGGGCCGCAGCGCTTCCCCGGAGAAGCACTGACACCTAGTGTTGGCTGGGCCGGCTCCGGCACGCGGGGCGCAGGACGCCCGCGAGGCCCCGGCACCACGGCCAGGCATCCCCGGCATCCCCGGCGTCCCCGGCCCCGCGCGGGCGGCACTCACGCGCAGCAGGCGGATGTCGTTGTCCACGGAGCGCGGGTCGTAGCGCGGGTGCGCGATGGACTCGGCGACGCCGAACACCTGCTGCGAGGGCTCGGGCTCCTCCAGCTGGTGCGCGCCCAGCACCACGCGCACCGAGGGGCTGCGCCTGCGCCCGGCGAGCGGCCCTCAGCGCCGCGGGACCCCGCGCCAGGGACGGGACGGCCCTGACCCGGCAGCTGCCCAGGGCACCCCAGCTTGGCACTTTGGACCCTCCATGGGCAGGGGAAGGGACGGGGCTGGTGGAGCCGGTGGTCCCCGGGCCCCGAGGGTCCCACTCACCTGGGGATGAGGCAGTGGGCTGCGGTCATCACCCACTTGGGCCACACGAGGAAGCCGCCGCACACGTGCTGCCCGTCCAGCTGGATGGAGGCCATGTAGGGCCGCGAGTGCGGCACTGCTGCCACCCCCCCGATGATCCGGCCGCCCTCGGAGCCTGGTGTGCGCAGGCAGCGTCACCGAGGGTCAGAGCAGCCCAGCCGGGCCGTCCCGGCCGCCGCAGAGCTGGGACCGTTCCCAGCTCCCCACACCGTTACCTGCGGGTGCCAGGGCCAGGAGCAGCGCGGAGCCCGCCAGGCTGAGCACGAGCAGCCCCTCTGCGGCCATGGTGCTGCCGAGCCCTTGTCTTGCCAGGGCTGCACGGCAAGAGGGTTAAGTAACCGTGGGCGCTGCAGACACACAGCCTCCCTCCTCTTCCTCCTCCAGTGCTGCCTTGTGCAACTGCTCCACGGGGCTAGCCCCGCGGTGGGGCTGGCGGGAAGGGGCTCCTGGCCCTGGGGATCGCAGGCACCGTCGTGCCAGGGCCCTCCGCACTGCAGAGGAGATGGAGGGAAGAAGGAGGGAGCAGAGCAGCTCCCGCACCTGCGCTGCCCTCATGCCCACCGGTGCCGCCGTGCAGGAGGGCAGCGGGTCACGCCGGGCTGCGCAGCCTCCAACCTGCCCGTCCCGCTGCGCTGGCCGGTGGCTGCAGCGCTGCCTGTGAGGGGGGCCACTTCGGTCTCAGCTCCATCCTGGTGCAGGAGCAGGGCTGCACGGGCGCACTGGGATCAGGGGCTCCCCGTGGTGCCGGCCCTGCTCCTCCTGCGCTGGAGACAGATTTCCTAATGGCTCTGGCGGTTGGAGATGGGTCCAGGCTTCCTGTGGCCGTTTGTTGGAGGAAACGGTTGCGTTGGGAAACGTGCGAGGGCAGCAGGCAGCCCTGCAGCCCCGCTTCCCCTTGACTCCATCCCGGGGCGGCCCAGGCGTTGTAGGGGTCCCGGCACGCAGGAGACCCCGCTGCGCCGTGCGAGGAGGAGGAGGCTGCCGCGTGGGATCCGCGGACAGCCGAGGCTCCAGCCTCGCGTTCCCGGGTGTCTCGGCCCCTCTGCGCTGCCCGGGATGCGGCGGGGCCCGAGGCGGCGCCTCGCTCGGGGCAGGGGAGGCGGCCGTGGGGGCGGCCCCGC